GATGTTGTTACCGATGTCATAGATGCTCCAGTGTTGATGCAGCCGAGGTTGAAGGTGTTGGAGGCTGGGCCGTTGAGGGCATGGGGTTATTCAGGGAGGCGATCTGTGGCGTCGATGTTGTAGAAGTCGTTGGCTCGCCCTGGGATCGCTTCTCACTTCCACCCTTCTTGCCTCGCTTTCCCCCACTCTTCGTAGGGCATTCTGCTTGTCTGTGGGAGGTACTACCACACGTCCAGCGTCGAGCCTTCTTGTCCTTTGACAGGAAATTGTGGGCGTACTTGCAATTGGCCCCACTCCGGCACCCTTCATCGGTCGTCCAGAACTTGCATGGTGGGGGCTGTCGGGTGCCTTGGCCCTTTCCTGTAGGACCGTAGGAGACGCCGAGGACGAAGAAGGTGAACCTGCGTCACCGTGCATCCCCTTGAGCTTGGGCCCTTGGTCCCTTCCAAACGGGATCACCTGCTGAAGCTCCGCGATGAGGTGATCGGCATATACAAGGACCGCTGACAGGGCCGGCTTGTAGGGCAAACCGAGTTCATTCTTTGCTATGTTCAGCTTGAAGTGCACGTCCTTGTGGCCCTCTGTGATTGCCCTTGTGGACGCCTCCAACGCCATCAACAGCACACTCCCGTCAGGCAAGGACACGCCCATTTCCGATGCCCTCCCAAGCAGCTTCCTCCACCTCCGCAACGAGGCAATCATATCCACGATGTTGTTCTGAGGCTGGATGTACTCAAGCTGCTTGATCAGGCTCGCCCGCTCACTCGCTCCACCAGGCGCGTAGATGGTGTAGAGCTTGTACAGACAGAGCTTCACCCTGTCAATCCTTAGCATTGTGACCTCCGCCTTGATGGTGGCACTCATGGTGGACAACAACAAAGCCATCGCATGCTGCTCCAGGCGAGCCCACTTGTCCGAGTCCACATCTTCATCCACATTCACGGTGATGGGCAGCCCCTTGAGCGGGATCTCAGCCTGGAACTTGTGATACGCGTCCTTGGCCAGCTCCAGGTTGTTGTTCCACCAAGCAGTGGCCTTATCCGTCAAGGAGCCGATCAGCTGGCCGACTTCATAGAGCCACTCCAAGAAGGCCACCGCGCTCGTGTCCTGGTAGGGCTCCGGCAGGGAAGGCAACGTCACCGTTTCCTTCATTAGCTCCGGATCTTGGCCTTCACGACGGAGCTGCATTTGTTGTAGTTGTTGGATTCCCTGCGCCAGCAGGTCCATGGGAGCCCTGGGGCTCGCATCGTTCTTCACATTCCCGTCGGCCTCCAATCCAGCCCCGGGTCAGGAGCAGCTCCGAGGACCTCCTGAGGCTTTCCTGCGACTGGTTTCTCGACGCCACCTTCAGGTTGTGTCCTCGTCGGACTCGTAGCCCTTGGGGTGTGAGCTTGCCCTCCACCCTGGCCAACGTCATCACCTTGAACCCGTCGTGGTAGTACCGGTAGCCCCGGAGGAGCACGGAGATCTCTTCCTCCGCTATCATGTTCGGCACGGGGATCCCCTCGCTCCGATGGACGAAAGCCCTCTACAGGGTCGCGGTTCGTTCCTTGGTCTTCCAGAACGCCCGTCCTTGATGTCATCGAAGGACACATTCCACCGCTAATTCGTCCCGTGCCAGGACTTGCATCGATCATCGCAATCAGGAGCTGCTTCAGCTCCATGTTCTCTGCTTGCAGGTCATTCACCCTTGTGTCCCTGCTCTGCGTTGCGTGCTGCACCGCCTTGCGAACCTCCTCCTGCACCGCCTCAGGCTGCAAAGATCCTGTAGACGACTGGTCACCCTGAGCTTCGCTAGGGCCGGGCTGCATCGCTCGCTGTTGTTGTTCATGTGGTCGATGCGCCTCTGGGGTTGCCAAAGTGGGCGTAGCTACTGACCAGGTAGCAGACTGAGAGTACCATGAGGTAGGGGAGGCAGTAGGATGTGGACGCATACGTTCAAGGCCACGCTGAACCATACTCCGAATCCTTGCAAACCAAACCATTTGGTCACCCGACACATCCGCAATCTCCCCAGTTTCCATTGTGGTCATAGATTCAACACCCTCAGCTCCCGCAGTCCCGATAACCCTCGAAGCCCGTGCATGTAAGGCTGCAATCAGCGCAATCCGCTGCTCTGCCAGCTGGTGCATTGCCATCTCGCTGCCGTGGAGGATGCCAGGGGCCGCCGCCTGTGCCGAGACTGTGGCCGAGGTCCTGGGCTGAGGCTGCGGTGTTGTCAGTAAATCTGCTGGCTGTGCAGGAGGAAAGCTAATGTCATACTGCTGTGGGGCTGCTGCAGGCCGTGTTGACATAGTGTCCTGTTGTGGAGCTGGTTGCTGCTGCTGTGGTGCTTGTTGGACACCTGGTCTACTACGGATCCCGAACGCTCACCCTGAAACCTCCGTCCGCTCGCGCCCGATCCGGTTGCAGCCTCTGTACCAGAAACCACAGTCGCACCCAGTCCAGTCGCAGCGTCCGTTCCACTCGTAGCGTTCGCGCCAAGTCCGGTTGTAGCATTCGTTCCGCCTGTAGCGTTCGCGCCAGATCCGGTTGCAGCGGTCACTCCGGCATCCACATTCTCCATGGCCCTCGGCCTCGTCATAGACGGCCTCAAACCACTTCCACTTGGTTGAAAATCACTTTGCGAACCCGTCGAAATCGATGTCCCTCCTGGCGTAGTCGGATTTTGCGAACCAATCACACCATTCAGGACAACCGATCCCTCAGCCATAGTTCGATTCCCTTCGCCTCGTGGGGCTGTAGCTGGTACGCGGGCTCCACCTGCGTCCACACCACCATATAGTTTGGCACATGGCCAGCCAGGTTGCTTTCTTCGGTCCCTCCAAGACTGGTGCTTGGGCTCATAACCTGTGGAGCAGCGTGTTCCGGGTGCTGGTAGTACATCAAATAGGATGGAACCGAGCTCAAGCAACCATGGCTATCGAATTTGGGATCTGCCCTGTTTTACACGCAAGACGAAAGTCTGTCTGCTGGCTTCTGCCGTAGTTACGAAGTGGCTTCTGCCGAGAATGACACAAGCGTTTACTTTACATGCTGTACTCATCTTGAACTGCAGGGTTGTACAGGTGGCAGCTCGATGAGTCATGATACTCAAGGTGAGCCCTTCATAGGCTTCAGCACAAAACAAGGTTGGATGCACACGCTGCACCCTCACTTCATCAGACCACTAGGCCCACTGGGACCATTGGCGCCAGTACCACGGCCGTCGCAAGAGCACCAACACCACCACGACGACGACTACTGCCGCTCCACTCCCACCTCGACGCCTGCCGCTGCTTCTGCTGCTACACATACAGGTGGCGGCAATAATAGTAGCAGCACTAACAGACAAAACGAAGATGGAACTCCTTCTTCTCTTCGCCTAATGATCACCAGAAATCACCTGTCATATCGCCACCATCGTCCTGAGCACCATCATCATGATCGCCGCCCAAACCGTAAACCTCAAAAGTACATGAAGGCGAATCATGCAGAGCGCGCCGCCCAAGCAAGTGTGGTGCGGGACTCGGGGTTGTTCAGCAAACTTGCAAATTTAGCTCGTTGGGATGCTCAACGCAGCTTGGGTGCTTGAATTGCTTGGTGGGTCACGGGGGTTTTCGATGGCAAGGTCGACTGGCCTACCGCTTAATGGACTTGCACACCCGAACCTGACTCACGAATCATGAACCCTGGATCCCCTTTCAGAAGTGAGGTCACCGCTCGGAAATACCTGCTCCAGAAGACGGCCGGGGCCTCGACAAGCTCAGATCTGCTCGTATTCAATCGGCTGGAAACCCAGCCAGGCACTGTAGGGCCCGACCGTTTGAGTTTACCTCAAAAGATACCCGAAATGAGGGTATGGGATTGGGATTTCCGGCACTGTGGCTGGAACGGAACTGAGGAATTCAAGATCACGATTTTCACTCGGCGGGACGAGCGGAATGGCCTCGGGCGCTGTAGACTGAACGTTGTGCTCTGTTTTGGGCTCCAAACTCACCCCTAAGGACAGGCAGGAGCAAGCGAGGAGGCCGAGCCGAAGCAAAACAGTCTACAAGCAGATTGGACTGAGGGATCAGGTTGGGGGAGGCCCGAAGCCTAAACCTTCTCAAAACAAGACTAAAGCCCGAAGGCTCTCTGTAAACCCGGAACCATCGGAACCATCGGAACCCCCAAGCAAGGAAGGCGAGGGCCCCAGAAAAGCGCCCTAGCCTAGGCCGAGCTGAAGAAGCTCGCCATGGCTGGGGCCCACGGCGGCTCCGGCGGCGAGCTCGGGCGCCTGCAGACGCGGGTCCGGCAGCCCGGCAGCGGGATGGCCGCTCGCAAACGTGGGCGAAGTAGTAGGTAGTAGGTAGTAGCCGGTGGTAGTAGTACTAGGTAGTACTAGGTAGTGCGCCCCACAGGCCCCTGGCCGGGGAGATAGGTGGTGGTAGGTGGTAGTATAGGTGGTAGCATCGGTGGTAGTATCGGTGGTAGTAGGTGGTAGTATAGGTGGTAGTAGGTGGTCGTAGGTGGTAGTATAGGTGTTAGCAGGTGCTTGTAGGTGGTGGTAGGTGGTGGTAGGTGGTGGTAGGTGGTGGTGGCAGGCGGCAGGTCGTAGGTGGTATGTGGTGCAGTAGGCCGTAGGCAGGAGGCAGTAGGGCAGTAGGGAGTAGGGAGTAGGTAGCACCCTCGTCCTCATCCTCATCCACTGCTGATATTGAAGTTCTGGTTGCTGGTTTTTCATTGTTGTTAGTGTCGATGTGCTTTTTCCACGAGTCGTTTGTCTTCAACATGGTTACTTCGTGTTCTGATTCAACGTGTAAGCCGGCGTGAATCACGCATACGCAATCCCAAGCCAGCCAAATAGCTGCGTTGAGCTCTTCAACAAGCAAGGTGTCACAGTTTACGATCTAAGGCATAGGGGCATCATGTCAACCTGACAGCATCAGCGACAATTCGACTAATGAACCCACTTCGACCAAATCTTCACTGGAAGCATGTCGCCACTCAAATCAGACATTCTAGATCAGTGCATCGAGATGACGGCTATGGCAAGCTTCGACGACTGGTTACGGGTCAGAGATTGAATTCAGGGCTTGGTGATGACCTTAACTTTCTTTAATCCGAAATTCCCGAGGCTCCTGCTGTGCTTCCCATGCCATTCCGAAGCTTCACTCTAAGCTTTGCACCGCCGTCACTCAATGCCCTCGCCCTTAAACCTACACGCATTCACCCCCAACAACTGCAGTCTGCAGGTCAACAACATGCAGCAGGCAACGTCGAAGTGTGCATGCCTTCTGCAAAGGGGCACCTAAGAGCAAGACCTCAGCATTCCAGGGTTGGAACTTCTGGATTCTGACTTCACGCGGTTTAATAAGGGTGCGACTGAATTAGGAAAGCTTCCAGATGAGCGGTTACAGATCTACCTTTAGCATGGTTCAAAGGGTCTCTTCTGGCTGGCGACATCGATTCAGACGTCCTTATTTTGAAAAAAGTGTTGCTGGCCGCTTGAAGACGTGAGCTGTGTCGCACCAGGCTAACCCAAACTCCGCGGCCCTCTGCACAGGACATCGCCAAGCTCCGCACCAGCATCAAGGAGGCTGAGGACTTTGGATTCAATCCTTAGCCCCCAAATCCCATAGCTCGAATTGGGTTGTGCTTTGAGTGAGGCAGAGCGAAAGGAAGCAGATAGCCAGGAAACAGTTTGTCTTGATCACTTACCGGCTTTCCCTTCCGTGGCTCTCTTGGACCAGAACCGAGAGGAAGTGAAAACGAGTAGGATCGCTTTGATTGCGGAGCTGAGAGATGTTTGGCTTGGCTTTGGGCGCACAGCCTTTTCCATGGGGGAATCATCTTGGATACTAAAAGATGCGCGATTGTGGCCCCTCCACCTTCCAATAGTTGGTGGACAACCAGACAAGCAAAGAGAGGGAGAACTCAAGAGAAATAAGCGAGCAAGATAGACGGAGGCATTTCGGCCATTCCGCATTCTTCGGACAATTCAAACAATCAAAGCGATGCCTCCAGCGAAAGCACGTCCGAACCCACCATATTTCTTCGCTTTTGCTTTCTTTCTCTCTCTCTCTCTCTTCTCCTTCCAGCTCGTTTTGCCTTCCTACCGCCCTGTTTTCCTGCTGCTCTCACTCTCGCTCTCGCGCTCGCTCTCGCGCTCGCTCTCTCTCTCTCTCGACCTTTGTCTCCAACTCCCTTTCACTTCACCTCTCCCCTGTCGCTGTCTCTTTGTGTCTGATTAAGCCATAGGTTTCTCTCATCATTGTTTTTCTCCCGCTTCTCTCTCTTCGCCCGAGTAGAGACAGGGTGTCCAGGTGGGGCAAAGGCCCAAAGGCCGAGGACAATGACGTGGGCGGAGGAAAGCTAGGACGCCTGCCTCGCGTCTACCGTGCAATCTTTCCTTTTTGAGTCTCGTGTTTTATACTGTCTATCTCTCTCTCTCTCTGTCTCTGGATTTGTCATGCTTCTCTTCTCTCTTCTATCGCATGCTCTCTCCGACTCCCTCCCTCATTGTCATTCCTTCCGTCCTCCACTCTTAGCAGAACTTTCTGACAAGAACGTCAAAAGAGAAGGGGACTGGGAGTAAAGGAGAAAGCTGGGCGACGGAACAAGGTTCATGTCCCTTCGCTCTCCCTAATTTATTAGGTTATCTGTCCGGTACTCGCCCGTTGCTATTCAATCTTCAGCTTCCAGCTTTTCGGCAGAGGGCACATCAAGAAAGTGGAGAGGCTCCCTAAGCCCGAACCGCCGTGACCAGGAGCGGCTTCGGGTCAAGCAGCTACTCGCCGAGGTCCCGTAGGGTCTGTGCAGGGAGCTCTGCACACGCCAAGCAACCCTAAGCTTCAAACCATAAGCTAAAAGTCGAAAGCCTTGTTGAAGAACGTGCATTGATAGCAGTTGTTCAGTAGCTGCCTCAGCACGCGCGTCCCGA